GTGCTAAATGAAAATGGGCGCCTTCTTCTTCTTCTTCTTGTTCTGCTTCTTCTTTAGATTTCAACAGCAGCTTGCATCCACTGTTGTTGCACTACTGTCATCTGTTGGGTCCTAATATCTATACCTCAAATTCTCATAATAATCCCAGTATTATAAAAATGAAAAATCTTCTTTTTCCCCTCAATGTTATTTAACTGATCAACAACATTCTCAAATTTCAATTCCCCATTAAAACCTAATTCCGTTTTAATGGGCGCTTTCTTCTTTTATTTCCAATGATTCCACTTCCTGCTAGAGAGCCCCCTGGTGGTTGAAGAAAAATCGGCATATAAGCCGCACCGGGCTATAAGCCGCAAGATTCGAAGCTTAGGAAAAAAAGTAGCGGCTTATAGTCTGGAAAATAAGGTAATTAAAAGCTGCATCATATAAGTTTGAAAACATTTCTCCGTCGTGCCTGCTGCTAGCATGTGCTTGTCCTAAATGAAAATTAGCGCTTTCTTCTTTGATTTCCAATTTTGACTTCCAATGATTCACTTCCTGCTAAAGAGCCCCCCCTGGTGGTTGAAGAAAAATCCACAGAAAAGCCTCACCGGGCTACAAGCCGCTTGGTTCAAAGTGTAGGAAAAAAAGTATCACCTAATAGTCCGAAAAATACAGTAAATAGCTTAAATCAGAAAAGAGGTTTGTGATATTGTGACCTACATGCCAAGCGTATTATTAAGAATACCGTTGGCTTTCTATTTACCTCAATCGGAAATTCAAGCTTCCCACCCTCACTGACAAACTCTCGGTACTCTTGTCTGTTGATGATTGGTGTCTGGTCATTAATGTCCGTCAAAGTGATCTCCAGCACCGTAGTGCCGGGCTTGCCATCTGTGTCTCTGGCCTGCAAGGTGGCTGAATAGAGAGATCTGAGCTCGCGATCCAGGAGAGCCTGATTTTTCACGTAGACTCTTCCCGTGTTACTTTCAACGTCAAAGTACTGCAGTCTGAAAGACAGGTTCAGTGGGGTTGTCTGGATCAGCCAAAGTTAAATTACAAAAATAAAAAGCTGTTATATAGATTAAACTAAAGAGAATAAATGGGATTAGGGTAAACATACATGCTCTCTGGAAGAAGACTGTAGGTGATTTTGCCTGCATCCATTGTGTCAGGATCATCTGCCTGTAAAAACAAAGGGAATGCTCCCAAAGTTAAATTTTTAACAAATTTTGATTGATTAAAATATCCAGATGGTTATGGTCTTACCGTCACTGTGGCCACCTCTGTCTCAGCAGGAGAGTGTTCAGTCACATTTATCTTGTACGTGTTCTGTGGGAACGTGGGGCTGTTGTCGTTGGTGTCCTTTATGGTTATTGTAACTGTGGCAGTGGCCTGGAAGGTGGGTTTGCCCTTATCTGTAGCAATCACCTGCAATATGGAACGTACTCATGAAACAAAACTCGGGTTGACGAACGCCCCATTCCTGAATACCGTCCTCTGTTTGATTGTTCTCTGTTACCTGAAGAATCATTTGCTGCTTTTCTTCAAAATCCAGATTCTCGGGCTGCCTGACAAGAAGCTGAACAGTGCTCTCTGGTCCAGCAATGGAGGGTTCCACAGAAAACACGTCTTTGTCCTCTCCTTCCAATGTTATCTCGGTTTGCACAAACTGTAAAACATAAGAGCAGTCGTTGTCACTCTGAACTCACCACTTTTTAAAAAGGCATTGGTTTTGTTTCTCACCTTGTCTAGATCCTTGACTGTCATGCCAATGGAAATTGCCCCCAATGAGTGTTCAAAGACCTCTCCCGTGAATTGAGTTTCTAGCACACAGGAGGAGCCTTCACATTTGTAAAATTTAGGCTCCTCGTCATTGATGTCGTTGATGTTGATCTCAACGGTTGCTGTTGCAGTGGCAGGTTGTCCGTTGACGTTCGGTTTAGACTCGGTGCCCTAAAAATCAAACAGCTGACATTCATTTCCTTGATATGTGGTCTCCTGTGCTGAGCTATCTACCTAAAGAGTTGATGCAACTTGTGATGAGAGGTCAGAACCCTATAAAGTGAAAGGTCTCACCGGGTCTTAACAAAAGAACACCCTCACTATCACTATGCATCTTTCTTTTCCTTCCTCTTATCACCCGGCTAGGTATGTTTGTGTTGTCAGGCTTTAAGCATGTCTATAAATGTTTGCTGACCATTGGATACATGATTTGACATAAATGTGACATTGTACTGTGGCTTCCCCTTTTTTTCTTTTTTCTCTTTCTGTTTTGTTTGTTTTGTTTCTCTTCTTCACATACTCATGTAAGGTTATAGGCAGTACAGTACAGTATTTTCTCTACTTGTGAAAACATAAAACTGATAAAAATGTTTGGAAAAAAACAGCTGACATTATTTTTTTTAATCATATTTCTTGCCCACTTTGTTAGTTCAGCTTTGTTCAAACTAAATGGTCTTCAACAACAATTTAAAGATATTACATTTAATATTATGAAATCAAACACCTGTCATGGTGTCCCTGTTAATTCAAATACAAACAACCTTTATGTTTGGCCCCAAATTTTGTCTTAAATTAATTTCATTAATCATCATGACTGTCACTCGAATTCCTACATTACCCTAATTCCCCGCTGATGTTAACTTTACATATGCTAAAAAGAGGCTAACAAGTGGTTCTTCTTGGTTTGTTACCTTCACAGTCAGAGTTACTTTGTCACCAGTAACTTCTCTGTCAATTCCCGACAACACAGATATGATGCCGTCATTCTCTGAGATTTTGAACAAGCCTTCAACTGAGGCAGCTGTAAAACAGGAAGAAAACCCATTACTTTATTTATTCCCATAAATAATGAGGTGTGACATTCTTTGCAGCTACCTTCAATGGAGTAGAGGATGTTGTCATTGATTCCCTTGTCCTCATCAAGGGCGGTCACTCGCAACACAGACGTGTCCTGATAAATGGGGGGGAAATAGGATTTATAGCGTCAAAGCATTTCTGACTTTCAAACAAACTTCATTTTGTGGCTATTTAAATCAAATTCACTGTAAAACAAATTTATGCTATTTGTTGCTGTAATGGATATATTTATTCGTCAATAATGAACACTCACTGCAGCAGAACTCTCTTCAACGCTTCCTACATATGGACCACCGACGAAAATGGGGTCGAGGTCCGGGGCGTCCACAACCGTCACGAAGGAGAAAGCTCTGGATGACTGGAAAACCTTCTCCCCAGTACAAGCACCTCCAAGATCCTGAAGGAGACATAAAACACCAAAGTGACTATTAATAAATATAACAGTTGAACTGATAACCAACAATTTATTTTTAAATTGAAACCAAATAAATTAAAGTATAATGAATCATTGTGCTCATTTCATAAGTATTCACACCCTTTGGGCATTTTCACATTTGGTCACTTTGGAAACACAACTGTCATGATAAAACATGGTGGTGGCAGCATCATCATATGGGCATGATTTTCAAGTATTTTTTGAACTGGAAGACACTTCAAACTTGGGTGAAGGTTCACATTTTAACCAGGCCAATGTCTGTAAACCTACATGCAGACACTAATGTACTCCACAGCTTCAGATTTATTATTTCAGATTCATATTTATAAATATCTCCAAAAGACACTGAAACCTTTGCAACGCTTGTGATTTTTTTCTTTCATGTGGGTGAAATGTTTACAGGAAATTAAATAAAATTAGAATAACCAAGTTGTCAATAACGACACAAATGATGATTTGAAAGTTCTTTAGCGAATCCTCTCTAAAGATACTTACTGAAAATGTAAAAAGGAAAAAGCAACTGGATTACAATTCTGGAGGTTTTAAGCTTTAAATACAACCATAAATGCACAAATAGGATAATGCTTTCTAATTCTGTTTTTCATTGTAATGTACTGTATTATCATTAGTTCTTTTAGCTAAAGTTCTCAGATCCCAGAAGCCTGTAATCATGTTTTATTCACAAAAATATTCTATTGTCATTTTAGAAGGAACGTCTTTTGGAGATACAAACAGATGATTGCAACATTTGAGTCATTGTGTTTGGATCAGTGGTATGTTTCATTTTAACTGTTGGAAATATAAAATTTAATATCTTCAAGCATCATACTCACCTTCGCTTCAACATGGAGCCGATAAAAAGTGCTCAGAGTGTTGTAATTAAGCTGGCCCTTTAACTTCAGTTCACCAGAGACTTCATTGATTTCAAACACCTCAGATCCTTGTGGCGGTATTATCTGGAAAGAATGCAAAAATGTTACTTTGAAGCATATTAAAGACTAAAATTAAAGATGCAGTCAGGTGCTTCACAGCAGAATCTTACCTCAACGAGAGAGTATCTAACAACGCCGGCATCTGCTTCATCACGATCACTTGCTGTAAATTTAAACACTGACGTTCCTACAGTCGTATTCTAAGAGCAGAAAGAAAACACCAAATTAAGCAAAAAAAAGTGTCACACTTTTCCTCAGAAGTAACTCCAAAAACTTAAACTAGACTTAAAAAATGTATTTTTTGATAAAAAAAAACAAAAAAACTACAACTTCAATCAACTATAATGTTTTAATGTAATTTACTTACTTCTGCCACTAAGATGTCAAAATTAGGGTTTTCAAATACAGGGCTGTTGTCATTGGCATCCTCTAATATTAAAGTTAATGTTCCTGGTGTCTGAAAGAGAGGATGCACACTTAGTACAAAAATAAAACTGATGTTTAGGAAAATAAGTAGCAGCAGCTTAAGTTTAACTTACAGTATTGGAACCATCTGAAACTGTAACACCAAGTGCCATTGTGACGCTGGCCTATAGCAGATGAATAGATATACATGTTCAGTCTAATGGATTGTTTTTCATCAAGTAAAGTCTCTCTTCTTCTCTAATATCTCACCTCTCTATCAAGGGGAGATTTCACAGTCACCTCCCCATTTGCTGGATTAACTTGGAAGAATCCAGCATTGGACCCAGTGAGTCCGTAAGTCAGAGTATCTCCATCTTGATCAGATGCTAATATAGTAAAAGCAACTGAATCTGTGTAAGAAATAAAAAGTGGATGTGTGAACACATAATTACATTCACATGTAAAAAAAAAAAAAAGGAGAAATGTTTCACAGCACCAACACAATACATACCGACAGGAACATCCTCACAGATTTCAAAAACCTTTTGGCCAATTATAGGACTGAAATTGGCTGCAAAGAGAGAATATCAAGTGGGAGTGTCAATATAAAATTTATTAATAACAATTATAAGAATAACTGTATTTATGTGGCACATCATTTGATAATAATTATGAAATAATTCACTAAGTAAAAATATGAAACAAAAGTTAGAGGTCAAGATAAAACAGAAACATAATCATTCAGTAATAAACTGAACGCCTACCTTTGCTTGAGCAGACCAGGCACAGTAATAGCAGCCATCCTGTTAGCCCACCCATGACTGTAAATAAATCATTAAATAAACAGGAAATCATTATTTGCTTTACTGCTCGTCAACATTCAAGACAATCTAAAAAGTAGGACAGATAAATTAAAGCTGGTACAGTATTCAAGCTAAATGTTACATCAACATTCAACAGCAACACCTAACATTCACATATAGTTAGAATGCAAATGAGCTAACCTTATACTATAAAACTTATAATATTTCAGAAATAAGCTTAGCATGTTATACATTCGAACATTCTGCAAGAAAAACTAGAGCTGGCATTTAAAAAATAAATAAATAAGACAATGAATGAAAAAAAAAGTTAGCTTTTGTGGCTGTCAGCAAATATAGAGTTCATTGTCAACCAGTTCACTTTGTATAATAATTAGAGGTAGGAGAAAAGTAAAAGTTGTAGCCAAAGTCAAATGAACTCCAAAAGAGTATATTTATACAGAACAATGACATATAATCCAATTGCTACATAGACATAAAAGACTGCTTTCTTCCATCTCAAGATTGCAAATCTGAGGTTGAAATATGAAAACACATCTCTATGCCACATATCTGCATATACTAATGTCTAAAAGTGGTTGAAGGTAAATACCTGCCTTAGTTAAATAAAGAGATGACAGGTCAGGATGGGAACAAAAAAAAGTGTTAATGGGTCCTAACTGGATTTTAAAAATGGAAAATCTTACTAAATTGATCTGAGTCATAAAGAAGACCATAAATTAAGCAGCTTATAGTTCTGAAAAGGCAATGAGGAAGCATCTTACTTAACATACTGGAGGCAGTTCCAACTACTTGCAATAAAAAATATTATTGCATGATAAGAAAATGACCTTTCACTTGATTTCTGACATCAGTAAAATTATGTCTACATAATTTATCCTTATTTTGGTTTGTTTTCTAAGTCACTAAAATAGGGACTAAAATGTCCTGACTTTGCACTGAAAAACATGGCTAATATTTTGACAAGTTTTCTTAAAACTCGTATCGTTATAGTTTTCTGAGATAATAGTAGGTAGGTAAATCTTTTTGTCGCATTTTATTTCTGAGTTGAACAAACACATTCACCTCTTCTTTCTTCAGACTAAAGAAAGGTAAAACCAAAGTGGAGACCAAAAATAACTAACCACTGGGCCACCGAATATCAGGGTTTAAATCTTATAAGTGACGTCACAGTGACTGTACGCTGTCACCATAATTTCAACAGTGAAAGACTCAAATATCATTTTGCCTTGATTAATATAGCTTAAAAATTAACAGCAAAATGTTTGTCTGGCCGCTCCCAAACAAATGACAGCAAGCAAATGGTTAAAACGCCTCAGAGGGTTTATGGCAGTGAAGCTGATTTATCGGTAGCTTCTTCGAATTCAGAAGTATGACGTGAAAAAGAAACATTTTCTGACTTCATGTGGAAAACAGAAAAATATCCTACTGTGTATGAACCGCGCAATGTAGGAATTTTGACGATTACAAGACTCGATATGAATAATTGAATTCTGAGCTTTTTAACACCTCCGACTGTAGTTAAGCTTTCCTCTTGTCCACTGAGATCAGAGTTAAGAGTCTAATCTGTCAGGATTGAGGTGTTGAAAATAATGTGGTTCAAAAAGTGTTTACAAAAATAAGCTGATTTTGTCTCGATATCTCCAGAACTACACAGGGAGACGTGAAAACAAAACTCTTTACGGTGAAAATAAGATCAGCAAGCTAGTATTTTTAACAAAATTTAAACAGATTTAATTTGTGGAGCTCCAAGCTTACCTGGTGAGATTGGCAGAGGGCTCGCTTGCAATGATGTGTGGATAAGACCTTTGGTTCTTGTTTCTCCCAGTTATGATCCTGTCAGAGCTGTAAACATAAATGATTAACACACATAGACCCACACAACCAACATCACCACTTCTGGTCCACTCCCTTGTTTTAGCGATGTCAGGTTAAGTGTATTAAAAAGTAGTCAATGAATTGAAAAGGAAAGTTTAAAATAACTATCATATCAAACCTACGGTACTTATGGCTTGATGTTAGCTGTATATCCTGAAATATTCATTAGAAGGTCTAATGTCCATACAGCCAAGCTGCAGCTCCATCTGGCTAAACTCGTCTCTAGAACATTCCTGGCTCTGTGTTCATGTTGGTCACCAGAACCACATGGGGCTCTGAACGGGTCCCTCAGTTGTCACTGAGCAGATCCAATGAGACCAGAGGGTTTTCTAAATTGTCTCTTCAGAACCAATCAGTAGGTCCCCGTTTTGTTCAGAAACTGTGGATCCATGTCATAATGAGGGCTCCTTTTGGCCCTCTCCCCCACCCCCTCTAATTAAGGGGCAACACACAAAGGATTCTGCTCTACTGTACTCACCAGCTTCGTTCACAATCAAATATTTGTCCATGCACAATGGGAGAGGATCTCAGCTTTTAATGACACAAAAAACACTCAGCAGTAGAAATGTTGTTCACATGATCCCACAGTTCTGCGCCTCTACATTTTGCCACTTTAAAACGACACAGTTCAAAGTATTTTATTTTGGTTTTAAGCTGTTCTTCTATCAAGCTGTTCTGTGAAAGCCGATGAGAGGTGTGTTAGAAAACATCAGTGAACAAACAATCTCATAAAGACCAAGGAACGCAGAGGACAAGTCGGAGATAAAGTTGTTGGGAAGTTTAAGGCAACAGCAGCTTTAAAAGTCTTGCAGTCTTAGGTGGAGATAAACACAGAGCAATCCGGAAAAATTACTTCAGACTGGGATGGAGGCTCACCGTCCAAGCAAGTCAAGAACTCCTAGCACACAATCAAAGTTACAATTGAATGGTTTAGTGCAAAACATATGCATGCTTTAGAATGGCCTAGTCAAACTCCTGACACAAATCCAATTGCAAATATGTGGCAACACTGGGAATTTGATATCAACAGACAATGTCCATCCAATCACCTACTTTCCTACTTTTCAAAGAAATTTAGATTTGAAAAAAGTCTTAATATGAAAATGTCTAATTTTCCCTGTAAATATTAGTTTTTCTATTAAATTCCCCATCTTTTGAGAAGACGGCGATAGGCATTTGTTGCATAAAACAAATAGGTACTAAGAGATGACATTCTCTTCACACAGGACATTGTGTGAAGGGAACGTCACACAATGTCGTTGTGTGACATTCCAAGCTTACCTGCCAATCTCACCAGGTAAGCTTGAAGCTCCACAAATTAAATCTGTTTAAATTTTGTTAAAATGATGCTGTGTCACTTAGCAACTCTGCGGGTCTTCATGTCATGTAATGTGGACACAAAATCCTCAGCCAATTACTGCATACAAGGCTGGTAACTTTGCATCTGTGTGGTACACACACTAATCTGCAGTTCAGGTCTGACTTTATTAAAGAAAAAAACATGAGTTCCATGTAAGACCATCTAACTTCATCAAATTAAGCAAACTCATCTCATTATTATCCAGCGTGGCAACCAAATCGATAAAGGTTACTTATTGTGACAAGAAAAAAAGTCAAGAAATAAGGTTTTTAAACAAGGAGGTGATTGTACAAGACATTTCTCTCAATTTATCAATAAACCTGGAGGCACGTTTAAACAGTGAGTAACATAGTGACTTGCATGATGAAGATAGTCAAAACTTGATCGAGAAATGATTCTGATTGGTAAGCACAATGTGCCGTCACAAGGTAACATGGTGGATATAAAATACAGCAATTGTTTCAAGACATGTAAAACATATCAAAATACGTGTCAACAACAGCAGTCAGAAAAATGTTTCCTTCTGCCTTATCCGAATAGACTTTGGTTTATGACTTACAGTTCTGAACACAACACTGATATAAGTGGGCAGGGACCTAATAAATCCTTTGCTAAGATATACCAGTAAACGGAAACATACAAAAAAACCTTACAGTTAGGCCTTGATTATGACGTTCCAAATGGAAAATATTTTACGTCACCATAATAAAACAGTGGCACTAGTTTGAGATATGTGCTGTGCTGAGGAGTCCATCAAGATGCCTAAAGAAGAAAAGGCATCAAGTTAAACAGACCTTTACTGAGAAGTTGATCTTTTCATGTTTTTTTTAAAAGCATATGCCTGTAACATTCTTCTTCTAATCTAATTTTGCCATGTTTCTTTTCTTGTCTGACTTCTGTTCTTCAACTAGCACTCTGATATATTGTTGTTGTTTTCCTTGATATTGTCCCCTAAGAAAATAAAAGACAAAAAAAGAAAAGAAGAAAATAATCCTGGCCTGTGTTTTGCTCTCTTCCTTAAATCAAAGTCCATGGTGCTTGTCTCTCTGTCAAGTCAAATGAAAAATGATAAAGAAGTCATATTTAGACATGCTTATGAACAACTTACATTCCTTATAGAGGAACAAATAATATTTATGCAGGTGAATTTACTGTTATTTTACTTCACATCACAGAATAATTCATTAGCCACATCCTTTGTCAACTGAGGATGATGACAAAAGAAAATGTTGGATTAAAGGACTTTTAATATTTTTTGCCCCCTCTTGTGGCGGCTAAACAGCATAACTTGTCCTAAAAAAGTGCTATACCTAAAACGTTGAGATTCAAGACCTTGAATCTCTGCTATGGTTCGATTACAATACCATGTTATAAGACTGTAGCTCTGTGCAGGAACTGAAAGGAGCCCCAGAGAGCACAAATGTCAATGTTTTTATTGATTCTGAAGTAAACCCAGCAGTAAGGGTGTTACATAAAAACTATTATGCCTTTTTATACAATAAAGATTAGGAGAAGGTGGAGGCAAAAAAAAAAAGCAGCCATATATGGGACCAGAAGGGCAAACCTTCAAAATATGTTAATGAAATTAAAGATCTATGAAAGCCAGAACAATGAAAGAAGTAAGAGATTAGAGGGGATTTTAAGGATGAGTTGGGGCTTGCAAACATGATTTTTATGAAGATTGTAATGACGAACAGACTTTTACAAAAATACAAAGGAAACTGTTTATGTTGTTTCATCTTCTGCGAGTCTGCAATCAATGTTCAGTAAGATTTATTTTCTACAGCTGTAAAATCAAGGAAAACTCCAGGCCTGGCAGGATAACAGTCAGACTCCTTAAAGTTGGTGCTGACCAATTTTCCTGAAACCGTTTAACCTGTCTCCCATTAAGCTAAAGGTTTAGAAGCTCTGGAAGGAATCTAGCTTGTACTAGAGGCAAAAAACAAATACCCAAGAGAACTTAGTGATTCTGAGCTTGTGGTTTTGACCTCTATTCAGTTTATTTGCGCATTTTACTTGAGCGTTTAATACGATTCAGCAAATAATGATGGTGTCTTTAAAATCAGACATCAACCCAAGTTCGCAGAGGACAATGTTGTAGTTATTCTGTGCAGGATGGAGAGATTCAACACGGACCTGTTGTTTTGGAAAGTGTTGTTATGAGCACTACCTGAAGGTGAATATCAGCAAAACAAATTATAATATACATCAGGAAAATTACCCACCCTGCTGTACTGACAATAATCAAAGAATTTCTTGTGGAAACCGAGGACAGTTGCATTTCTCTCAACTTCAACCAACATCCATGCAAAGACGTTTGCTATAGGTCGAATCTTTTTAACATGGATTTAAAACAAAACAAAAAAAAAAAACGTGTTTTATTTTATGAATCTTTTATTGAGTTTGTTTTGACATTTAGTTTTATTCAAGACATAGCAACTTGCCCTTGAAAAATAAGAGCTGTATGTCTATTGAGAGAATAATTGGCATTCGACAGTGCCCCCTCTCTGACATAGAATGGAGTGAAAAAAGGCCAAAATCATCCTAGTCAGCAAAGAACATCCCCTTTAGAGGAAATGGTTATCCTTCCCTTAGGTGAGGGTACTGGTTGCTATCTGTGAGGTGCAATTGTACAAGTAATTTTTTTCCCAAGGGCTGTTAGAGCTCTTGACCAAGCATGGCACAGTTTAGAACATTTTAGACTGCTTTATTCTTTACAAATGTCCAATAAATCAGTTGAATGGTGTTTGACATTTGAGTATCATTAAGCTAACCAAAGGAGCTTACTTAAAGTCCATTGCCATTGCCAACTTGCTGGCATGGTCCTGCTCCTGTACAGCATACATACAAATAATTTGTCATACCTCTGAAACAACATAAACGCTTGAAATAAGTGAACAGCATGGCTTTCTGAAATACGCTTTTTCGTCGGTAAACCTGTTTATTTTAATTGTAAGACAGATATCTTGCGGCTCTCAACAGAAAGCGAATGTCTTTCCTCAAGGTTCATCAGTGAAACGAGCCTTAAACTTTCAAAATCAGACTGAGATGCTTTTCTGTCCATTACGGTAAAAATGGCCGCTCGCCGTGCGCTCCCTGCCCTTGCAATACGCCGAAATGGGGGTGTAACTGACAACTGCAGAAACCCAAAACATCCGCAGGGCTGGTTTAGCACTGCCTAACCAAAAATGTGGCTTTTACGGGTATAATCTTGGAAGTTGGGAAGCCATAAGACGGCACAATCCATTCTCAGTATGTGCCGATAACGTGGGACGCTTGTTATTAGGACCTTTTTCCCCAGCAGTGGTGAAATCCACGGAATGTTCCACACGGTAACAGCTCGACCAGAGGATGCCGCACTTAGCCTAACGAGATGAGAGCGTTATAAGGGAAATATCACAGATCAGATGGTCTCACATTAACAATCAGGTAAATGCACTCTTCCCTCTTGCTGCTGCTTTGGCTCGGCGAAATTTCGCAAAGTTGCGCGACATTTTGTTGCGGAAGGCGGCTTGACTGTTAGCTGTCATCCTGCTCAACCCCTCCAGCCCCTCCTTGTTTTGCTGCTACCGAGAGCGATGTTGTAATGTTTACATTTAGTGCAAGCACGGCGGCTCCTCTCTTTTTCACCGTCATCAAATAGGTGCAGAAAGTTGGACGCGTTCAGAACACTGACGTAGTCGCTCCAGCGCTTTGGAGTTTAGATTAAATTACACAACATAATTCCATAAGTATCTGTAGACAAAACGGGCCTCGCACATGACACGGAATCTACTTCGGTGATCATCAAGTGCAGCATCAGATTTTGCAGCTGGAGCCGACGTTGGCCTGCAAAAGGCATAGATGAAAGTTTTCTCCTGACATGCAGAGAGCTGACTAGATCAGGAAAGTGCAATGTTACATAACCAGGACGCTCTGGCCTCCAGTGAGAGTCAGCACAGAGCTCAGTGAAAGTTTGGTCAGGATTTTAAAAAAAGCATTAGGTTGTCTGAAAGCTTGCTGTAACTTGCATAAATAAGTTTTGAAATGTGAAGTTAGTAGTTAATGCGATGTTATTAGTGAAGTAACTTCTCTTAAAGGGAAAGGCGCCCAAAGTCTTTGTAGGTTCACTAGATCTGTTTGTGTTATGACTGTTATATTCGCTAAATCACCGTAAACCCATAGTCGCTGTTAACCTGTTCAACTCTGCTCCAGACAAACAAAATAGCTGTTTACATTTGTGTTGTTCCTTGCACGGATTAATTTTCTTGCACGAGTTTTGCAGAAATATACAAAGCATAAATTGAACTGATATTCTAGTGCATGTTCTTTATTTAAGATCGCATTTCCTTTTAATCCACAGTTAATTCTAAACCTGGATTTTTACAGCTGTTAATAATAGCATTGTCTTCATTGTGAGCTACTATGTGACCATCATTTTATTTGCTGCTGATTCTCTGGAATCTTTTTCCTGTGAAGAATAAACTAATAATTTTTTCCACTCTGTTCTATTCCAGAAGAAAACAAAGAGCAAACAAATGTACGCTAAAGTTATATAGTGTAATTCTATTTATTTACTTTTAGGTTTCCTTGCCACGTATGAGGGAGCATTTCATTAATAAGCCAGTAACAACAGGCGCCGCTTGTTTTGATACATTGTAGCTAAGACTCTGTCTGGGATGTCTGCTGTCTGCGATTTCTCTGCCCTTATTGGTCGCCGACATGAGGGGGGCGGGGCTTTATCATAACAATGCACTTCAAGAATCATACACGCGCCAACGGGATGTTTTCTGTCGTTGGGGAAATAACCTTCGCTTAGAACGACTGTTAACGGCGTTTCCCCTCTCAGGTAGACGGTGTCGGTAACGGTTAGCGTTTCCATGGTTTCCGGGGAGCACGGCTCTCCTATGCAGCAACTGAGAGCGTGTGTAAGGTGGCTAACGTTAGCAAGCTAGTACCCTCTCAGTCGGGGGTGGGGGGGCACGTTTATTGTCAGATATCTGACGGAAGAAACGGCAGTCTGTTGATGGCCTGTTACCACTACATTCTGTGTTGGACAAGGAAATTCGCTTAGTCGAAATCCTTTGAAAATAAACAACTCGAATGGGATACGAGATTTCGGAAGCCGAAACACCTGCAGCCCTCTCCAATCACCAAGGAAGCAAACTAGCTAAGAAAGTAAGCTGTTGTCTGTGTTTTACTTAAGCTTATAGTAACATGATGATATGGACGTGCTCTTTCTTTGGTGTAACATGTAACTGTGCTGTAAACACAGTAAAAATGCGCGTATGACTTAGCTATGACTAGCTTGCTGGTCACCTGAAGCTGGGGAGTGTTGGACAAAGCATTAGCATAGCTTCGCTAAGAGGACACATTAGTTTTTCACAAAATGTAAGACTTAAAGCTGGCTAAAGCGTAGTATCGCTATCTACTTCGACAGTCTCCACAATGCTTTGCCTTAGTCTTGAAAGAAAACTCTTGCAACGTAGCAGTGGTCTCAGAAAGTGTGCACTAGCGAGCAGTGCTTCATGCCTATCACATCTTTTGTTGTTGCTTTGTCCTATGAGCACATGGCATCCCATGTTTTTGTTAAGGCAAGCCACAGCGACCCCTGTTTATTCCATGGCGTTCACTTATAAACAGAAATAAAGTCAGCCCAGGTATTAGCCAATTTATCATAAAATATACAAATTAGTTCTATATGAAGTGGAGACATGCTGGCTTCCTTTTTTTTGCACTTCTGTATATGCAAACTATTTGGGCTTCATGCATTACTGGGAATAATACCATGGTGCCTGCATGTGCCATAAAGATTTTATAAAATCATTAAAATGCGTCTATGAAATGTATGTTTGCTTTAGTTGAGCAGATTTCTTCAAAACAGCTGAAGTCATACACATGTATTTAGTTGTTTAAATGATTTGACCTTAAACCTAATAATCATTTAAGCTTCTAATTGGATTAAATTTAATATGTTTAATGTGTTGGACTTTATTTAGACTTTACGTTCCCTTTATACTTCTTTGCTGCCATATTGGCCCTGTATGGGATCACACTGCTATTCTGTGTGGCAGAACACACTGCAACTCCTCAACCTTTGAAAGACTGTGCAAAAAGAGGCTCTTTGTTTTGTTGTTGTTGGGAACATTAACACATATTATTACCTGGTAATGGAGATAACATATATTTTGGACAGATAAAAGATTTAAACCAAGCGGAAAATTAATTTTTTATAGAACATTTTTACGCAACAATTGTTTCCTGCCATCTGCACTAAATCTAATATGTAACACCATTCTTCTACATTTAGCTATAGGACATAATTACTTTCAAAGTGGGGCCCCTGCTATGTTCAAAAAGTGCCTTTTTCTTTTTTTTTTTTACTACAAATTGTGACTAAATGCAATTTCATCCCTAACTTTTGGTGCACTTTTTTAAATGGGAAAAAAAAAATCTTTACAGGTCATAATTTTCTATGCTTAAAGATCATATGCATACAGCATTGATGATTTGATGTTTGTTTTTCCTCTCCCACAGGGTTAAGACAATCAGAGGCCACATACAAGTGCCTCCACTGTACACTTTCTTTCCCCAGAGTGTGACTCGTCTGCACGACGTCACCAATGCGACCATGGGAATTAGCAGTAAATAGGCTGCCACCAACAGCCCCCTTAAACTCCAGGAGGTTCCTCGGAGAGCCCTGCAACGCCCCAGTGCATCTCAGGAGAAGGTGACGTTTCTTCTCATCTTTTTATTTTATTTATTCATTTATTTATTTTTTATTTCAAATTATCTTCTTTGAGAATGCTTTACATTGAAACTAAATCAAAACCTGAAAATATATGTGCTGTTCATTCACACATGGATTTTACGTGTGCAGTCAAGGTTTGTTTATAACGTGTGGAAAAATGTGTGTGTTCTGGTCAGATCGTCATGTAATGATTTTTGGTGCATAATCACATTTCCTCCTGTTGAACTTGGTTGAGTTAGTGTGGCCACATGATGATCTGTAAATATGGTTGCCTATACACAAGCAAAACATAGTAGTCAATGAATTCATGAGAAAATAAGAGAATAAAGTAGAAAAGGTGCTCCGTTAAATTTGTAACAAAACAAGACATGATGAATATCAACAATCGTTGCTCTACACTTCTTTTTTTATCCATGTCGATGTATTTGTGATGAACCAGTGTGAACAGGGCAAAATGTTTGCATGTTTTTTTTTTTTTTTTTTTTTTTTTTTTTTTTTTTTTTTTTTTCAGCCAGCAGCAGCAGGGAATAAATAAGCTTCTCTTCTTTTTCTCTATAGCCCACCAGTGAGACGGCAGTGGGGGAGACGAGACAGACCTGTACTGCACACTTCCCAGGTCCAGGATGAGAACTTCCACCACCTGTTTTTCTCCCAACACCCCCAACAGGTTCCTTTAGATGAGTCCAGACAGTACAGCCACACCAGCACAGCACCACGCATGCTTCACCCTGCGACCCACCTGCCCCAGCAGAGCCCCATCATGGTGGATCTACATGACCAGGTAACGCAACGCCAGGAAAAGACAGAATTTTCATTCGCTGTGCGAAACCCTCTCGCCGACCGCCTTCGTTGTCTCTCGTTTTAAAAGATGCACCAGGGATCCGTTCCAATATCTTACACTGTTACGACGGTGACGACCCATGGATTTCCCATTCACACTGGGCAGCCCCTTCCAGGGTGCAACACTCAGCAGCTCCCAGCATGCTCGGTAATGTTCAGCGGACAGCTCTCTCTGCTCTGCTGCCTTCCTCCTCCTGTGAGTTTGAAAAGGAAGAGCTTAAATGTCAGTGGCATCCATGTAGCACACCATACCAGCCATGCAATCTGTCACTGTTCGCAGCAAAAAGAAAAGACAAAAAAAAAAAAAAAAAAAAAAGAGAGTTGTTTGGTTAAAAAATGTGTCTCCACATTTGGACAGTAATTGCCAGCAGCTCAGTAAAATACATTGTAATTTTTTCTGTGGAGAAGTTTAATACATTGTCTTGCAAAAGAATCGATAACCCTTGAACTTTTTTGCACTTTGTCACATTACATTCAGAAAGTTCAGTCTGCTTTATTGAGATTTTATAGTATGGTTTAATCAAAATATCCTATAATTGTGATGTGTAAGCGAAGTTGTGTCAATTTCTATTTACTCTGACTTTTATAAGCAAAATTCCTTTTAGACGTCTGCTAAATAATGTGTAATTATAGAGCACAGGATAGCTGTAAGCATATCAAGACTTTGCCATCCGCCTAAACTGACAAGCTAGAATTTAATTAGAGAAAGGTGTTTCTACAAAATATTGATTTAGCTCAGTTAAATACCAATCACGTCGCATTGTTTAGATTTCCAGTTGTAAGAGAATTTGAAAACGGTGTGTCATTTTCTTCCACTTCACATTTATGCGGTACTTTGTGTTACCTGGAGAGAAAACTTAAGTTAATTAATTTCTATTAACCTAATTGGAGGGTTTTGGTTGTAGTGTGACAAAATGTTAAAAGCTCTAAGTCCTTTTGCCAGACACTGTATGTGCTGCTGTAGAAATTAGTCATTTTGTTAGACTGTTGTTGTGACCGTACTGTCAGTGGTGTGTTTTTTTGTTGTTGTTGTTTTTCTTAATGCACTGTGTTACCTCTGTTCACTACATGCTTACAACATGCTCTCATTCAAGCTGGCTTGTTGTTAATATCAGGAGAAAACTAGTTTTATTTTTCATGGAGGATTCTTTAGCTATGGGTTTGATTCCCTGAAAGTCATGTTTGGTTCTTTTCCTCTGCTGTCTTTTCTCCCCAGCTCATACAGGCATGTACCATGCAGCATATACCTGTGTCTTATCAAGCTTTTCCACCGCTGATGTCCAGCGAACATTTTGTATTGCACCCGACCCCATCTGTACCCCCCCACCAGCCGCCGCACCTTACTCCTTTGAGCCAGTTTGTCCCTTTACAGCCTCAGCACCCACGCATGGTAAGTCTTATTAAACACTTATTAATATTAACACAACAAACAACAAGCCTTGGCTTGTGTGTGAACGTCTTCTGAGCCTGAGAGTCTGACGATAAGACATTCTGTCCTTCTAGCCTCTACAGAGGGTAGACAATGAAGTTGACCTAAGAGGGGACCAGCACCCATTAGGCACCTTCTCTTACCCTCCCTCTCATCATCCACCAGCGCTGCCTCCTTCACTGCCCCTACAGTATCTTCCTCAAGAGCCTCTGCATCAGGAGCTTCCCTTCGGAGTGGTAAGATGGCTTGCCAGTCTCTTTTTTTCTGAAGGGGAATTGACGGTGCCCTCATCACTTTTTTTTAGCCTGACCTATTTAACACTTGCTCAGAAACCCACATTCACAGCTGGAAAATATTCATTACATCCACGGTCTCATAACGGGGTCCTCTGAGCAGCTGAACTGGCGCAGTGTTGGCAGAAGCAAGTTGCTTTAAAGCACCTTGGTAGTTGTTCTTCTTACCCATAATGCAGCTTGCAATAAGCAGGTGATGTGTTTAGTATGGTTACCAGGCAAACGTGGCCTCAGCTAATTATGGTTTTCTGCTTTATGAAGTAGTTTGCTTAAATCAGTAACAAGAGCCTTCTTCCTTACCACTTTTATTTATAGTAATTATTGAAGGAGATTAAAAAGGACTTGTAACTTATTCATGGTGTCTGATGGTTTTAAGTTTGATGTTGAGACGAAAGAGTCAGAGCTGTTGATGCTCTCAAGCTTAACGCATCCTAAAGCCTATGATATAAGATGAGTGAGCAGCAGTGGACGTATTAGCCTGGCCTAGTTGTGCTTATGTATGGTATTTCCATTTGCTGCTGGCTGGGGGAGGCAGATTGTATTTCTGAGATTCTGACGGGTGGGTCATCGGTCAGGGCTGATGGAGCTGTAAATTAGCCAGTTCTGGGCATCAGCAGGTTTCTCAGATCTAATAGTTCTCTTCTTTTAGCTTCAACACCACCATCTGGATGATGTTTAAGATTCTTGTTTCTTTTCTTTTATAGTCTTCGGGGTTTTTTTTTTTTTTTTTTGTGTTTTCTGATAATAATTTTGAAACAGATTGGAAGGCATTTTTTGCACAACTGCAAATTCTTCTTATTTAAAGCATAAACCTGAGATACACTAGGCTACTGTTTTTGCATTAGTTTTTCCACATTACTGGAAAATCATGCCAGGTTGTTTTTGTACGCCTAGATACTTTAAGTTTCTTATGTTAGCTTGTTTTAGTTTGATCAAAAAAGCCCCAAAAATGGCAGTGACAGGGTTAGGTTTTACCTGAGCTTAGTGATTTGTTTTTTTCTGGGGTTTTTTCACCCGTTTTGCAGCCATATTCCCACATGCTGCCACGGCGAGTGAACGGACAAAGATTTCGGTTGCAGCAGCCTCTCCCACCTCCTCCTCCACCTCCGTCTTACTACCCTGGCTTCCTCCCTTACTTCCTGTAAGTACCTGCAATAAGAGCACTCTGTTGATGAAATTTAGAGAAACGCTGTTTACATTTAGGACCCAATCAGTTCTCGCACATATCTCACATGTACAAGATCACAAATAAGCTTTTCTTCTAGAACAAAAGAAGTGTGAGGCTGATAGTTTTGCTTACATTTATCACATGGGTTGATGTCTTTCCACCCGGCTTGAATTTGCAGAGCATGTGGTGGTACACTGAGGCTGATACGACTGGTTCAGTGTGTGCACATTGGTTAATACCTCTCTTTCTGTTCAGGTCAATGCTTCCTGTGCCTCCAACAGCAGTGGGCCCAGCCATCAGCTTAGACCTGGATGTGGATGATGTGGAGATGGAGAACTATGAAGTTAGTGGTTTTTGTTGAATGTTTCTCATTCAACATTTGATGAAGGAAATGTTTTTGCCTAATATAAATCTTTGATTCGTGTGTATTTTTGGGTAGTTCAAACAAAATAATATCAAAAGAATAATGAGATTACACTTCAGAGGCCATCCATTGCCTCTTCTCTCATCTTCCATGTTGTTATTTTTGATGTAGACTGAATTTCCTATATAAATCTATTGACTACTTTAAAGGTTACATTTAGCCACAAGTTACATTTAGCCATTTATACATTTTGAGGTTTTTTTTTTTTTTTTGTATCTATGAGATGTTAAAGCATGTGGATATAGTCGTCTGTTTATTAGGAGGACCAGCAACGCTCTGGGGCTGGCTAATTATGTCTGCTAAGGCAGCAAATCAATAACTTCTCACTGCTGTGTTGTTTACTTTGTTGTCAGAAATGTAGTAATAATGTGCAGGAAGTTTCCTCTGAATGATAGAGCAGCACCTTACAGCATTCTTAAACACAAATTGAACATGTAATCCTTCAAAATGGCCACACTCAGCTAGCACCCATTAGCTTTCACCCTTGTATAATTTTCGGACCCTGCCTGCTTTGTCTTTAAACAAACCTTTTTTTTTTTTTCTTAAAGAAAGTTTCTGCTTGAGTCATGTTTCTACATGTCCAGAATATAAGCAGGGCAAACTTATGAAGAAACTCGCTCTTCATAAGTGTAATGGCACATTGATTGCTACCAAGAGGTCAAAGGACATCACAGGTACATGCAGTCAAACAAGTAAATTAGTACCAGCCAAAAACAGGACTGCAAGAGTCGATATTAGCTTGAGGACTTACCTTCTAGTTTGAAATGCGCAGTTAACAAAATTGTGAGTTTAAGCAGGAGCAGTGGTTGGCAAATGTGGGAACCAAGGAAAGATATTTTATCATATATTCTGGAGCTTTGCAAGCTGTCATTATTTCAGATAAATATACTTCCAGAGATTAATCACCCTAAATCATATTGCCTGGTTTTTGCATAAGCGCCATCTTGTGGCCTACCCCCAGATTTAAAAAATGTCCTGTGTGGAAGTTTAACACTTGTGGATCATCTGTCTTGGAAACCAAGGCGAACGCACCTGTGATGTGTCATGGATAAATATTATTCAGGTGATGGAACATCTAAAGATGATGTTAGGTTTTTGTTGTTTTTGTAAGTTATAAACAGCAGAGAGGTTGCGATTCATGTCTTTTATGTATATTTATATGTTAAAAGTTTAATTTCAAACTTTACATTCCTTTGTTAAAACTGGCCAGAAAAATCATCCACATAGATCTTGAAATTTTGAGTGTGGAATTGTTCACTCTTTGATCAAACATGGCAGCGGTCGCATAATGGCACCTTTTTCTCTTTTGTCTTTTAAGGCACTACTGAATTTGGCAGAGAGGTTGGGTGAAGCAAAACCACGTGGACTCACAAAAGCAGACATAGAGCAACTTCCGTCCTACAGATTCAACTCAGAGAATCATCTATCTGAACAAACGCTGTAAGCCTCTCCTCAACCTGTGCAGATTCATCCTTTAGCAATCCCTCACCTATATGATTTTCTCCGCACAGGTGTGTTGTGTGCTTTAGTGACTTTGAGTGTAGGCAGCTACTTCGAGTGTTACCTTGTAACCACGAGTTCCATGCTAAATGTGTGGATAAGTGGTTAAAGGTAAGTTGGGATTTTTTCAGTAAAGCTTAGTTTTTAGCACACTTTTTTTTTCTGGATGCTAAAGCATTCTTACTTTTTCTCCTCCAGACCAATCGCACTTGCCCAATCTGTCGAGCGGATGCCTCGGACGTCCACCGGGAGGCGGAGTGAGACAGGTCTCTGAGTGTTGAACTGGAATGCTGCACCCACCAGAGTCTGTCTCAAATGCTGGGGACACCTGCCACATAACCTGCGTCCTCCAGTAAATATAGCTTAACAAACCCTCTACTCCTGCCCCTCAGTTGACGATAAGGAAACCCAGGATTGTTTCTGGAGCACGTTGTTCCTCCGCTGTGCTTCGTTGTGCGAGTGTCACGAAACCCACTGCCTACAGCCAGAGTTCTGGGATTGCCAGCCACTTCTGTCTCTGCCCCCCCACATTGCAGATTCCAAAGATTTTCCCCTACAATGCATTATTTGCTGCTTTTGTTTACAGGGTTTCCTCTTTTTCATTTGTGGATTTTTTTGGTAGTGTTCACAAAAAAAAAAAAAAAAGTAGGAGTCCTGGCATTGGAGGAGATGAGTCAGGAAGCCTGGAGGATGGCAGGCTTGGACGCCTTGTGCAATTAGCAGAAGAAAAAAAAATATTAGGAGTACTTCAACGTGGGTTTCTGTGTTCAGAGGCGACGCTTAACCATCGGAGATGCATGTTTGTGTTGGTGTATGGCAAAGTGACTTGTTAATAATGTATGTTCTGCAATAACGTATCGATTGTTTTTAATAGATTTCCTCCTTAATTGTTTGAAACTTTGCCAATGCTGTTGTGAAAGTGTGATTTGCTGCGGTGGCATACAGATTCGGCTAAGCCCGAGGTCGTGGACTGCAAGCGGACAGGACGTGCATCTTATAGGGGCGTCTCCGAGCCCTCATAATCTTCTCTGGAACACAGATCTGTACAAAAGCAGTGATGGATTGATGGATTTTTATTTTTTTTTAATTTTTTATTTGTTTTTTGGGTGGGGGGGGTTGTGGGGTCGTCCGCCGTTAACTGCACAAGTGCTACAATCCTCTCTCCACGTCGGCATTGTTTCTCTAGCAAATGCGTGCGTATGTGAGCGCGTTTGCGCGTGCGTGTGTGTGTGGATGTTTGTCCTGTTCACAGAGCCAATGCATTTTGTGTAACCACTGGATACAGGGCAGCATGCTAGGATTTGCATGAACTGTTGATTCAGACTAGCAATATTATCAAGCATTGCCACCAAAATGATTCACTTTTAAGAAAAGATGAGACATAGAAGCATACTAAAAAGAACTGCTTGCTCACCCAAAAAAAAAAAAAGAAAAAAAAAAAAAAAAAAGCACCACTGGGGGGGGGGTAGCATGTGGTTACACTCTGGTTGTTTTAAAAGAAAGGAAGAGCTCGTCTAAAGGCGCCGCCGATACTGACGAGTTCTGGAAGCCCGTGCAGGAAGCAATACGTGCTGTGAGCGGACATTTTCTTCCCCTTTTAGGAAGACTTTGGCTTTTTATTTCTTTCTTTGTGAGCCAAATCCAATATACGTATTTAGCCTACTGTTAAATATTTCAGATCTGCCTTTTTATGACGTTGACAAGCACAAACCTGTTACTAATCCTAAAAAAAAAAAAGTACTTTGTCGTTTCCACTTCTTCGAATAGTTTTTAAAAGAAGAAAAGAAAAGTGTTTTATTTATTGGTTTTATTATCCTCAAGAGAAAAATCCATTGAAGGAGACCGTTGAAGCACTAATGATGTTTGCATTAGGTGTCTGTTCTAATCTGGTAACTTGGTCAGGTCATTGTCTTAGGCTATGGTTAAACGGTGTTGTAAAAGAGCAACTGTGTGTGTATAGCTTCAGTGTGGATGCTTTTAGATAAATGTTTGAAGACAGACGAATGTTAGAAGTCTCTGGTGACGCTCCGTGTGTTAACACCAGCTGTCTTGTTTTCCCACAGTCAGAAGATTCAGCTGCAGCGTTCAGTTGTGTAGAGACACTGTAAGACTTCTGGTCCCTTCCTCCCTCCCCCTCTGCCCCCCCCCCCGCTCGTGTTACGCGTGAAAAACAGGACGTATAATTGGGGTTAGGGAGGGAAAGAGCAACGAATTAACTTTTGCTTGGAATTCACTCTTGTCTCTTTAACTGCCCCGGTGAGCACTAACAGGCAGTCGTAACCTTTGCTTTGACGTGTAAAGGATTCTTGCCTTTTCTTTACTTTTGTTTAAGTGAATGTGAGTCTTTGACGTGTGCCACCTTCAAGAGAAAAAAAAGCCATTTAAATGAGTTAAACCCACAGCTTTGAGAATTAACCTATGTGTACATATCTATTTGCTGGCATATATTGTAAGTTTAAAAAAAAAAAATCTCTCAGGGCCTCTCGGTATATATATATATATGAAAAAAAAAATAAACAAAAATAAAGATGAACAGTCCATTTTTTATTTTATTTTTTTTCACAATGGAACGGATGCCATGAAAAGGGTGTATCTGAATTCAGTTTGGTTGGTTTTCTTGGACCATAAATGATTTATTGTAACCGATTATACTATTGTTTTGTCTGAAATAGTAAATATTACAACATTTAAAGACAGGCATGCAAGAAAAGATCAATACGTATGTTAACAATACTCACTGAAAAGACGACAACTCATTACAAGTGTATTATTCAAACCTGTTAGACTTCCGTTCTTGTACTCCGACCATATTTTCACACATAGCAGTTGTGATCCCATATTTAAATGTGCCACAGCGCACTCTTATCCTACCTAAGTCACTCCTAAATTGACTTCAGATGTGTTTTTGCATGATTTTAAAAGAGAGAAAAAAAGAGGGCAAAACAAATGTTACAGTGGAGGATATCTTAAAAAAAAAAAAAAAAAAAAAAAAAATCTGGTGGGGGACCTATTTAATGGTGCACAATATGCATGCTCGTCAACCAGATCCCAACTGATTTTTTTTTTAGCTCTAGTTGGCTCGGGTTCTGGAAGTTTGGATCTTAACGCTCAGCTGATAACTGCCATGCATTGTACTGCACACATTTGTAATAGAACTGAATGACTACAAGATTTTATTGTGCTAACTTCATTTTATATAGGGGGACATATTTAAAAGTAAAAAAAAAAAAATGATAAAAAACCGAAAGGAAAAAAAAGGTTAATTCTTACATACATTGTGTTACTGTTATTGCCCTGACGACTGAGAAATACACGCTCTGATACTACTGTAGTCTTATCAAAAAGCCATAGTGAAAAGGTGCTAGATGTTCTGCTTTTAGGTATGAAAACTCACACGCGTGAATGCAATAGTTTGTCATGGATCTCATGTATTCTTAAAGCATGTTATACCAATACCCCGAAACAATGTCAGTGAAAATCAATATAGTTTTAAGGGATTTAAGTAAAAAGCAAAAAAAAAAAACAAAAACAAAAAAAAAAGAATAAAAGTGTTGTCATACTTATTTCAGTGTAGTACTGTATCTGCCTATCAGGCTCTTGCTCTCAGTGTATGAATATCTTTAAAAATGTATTGTTCACATATAGAAGATACCTTAATTCATGGTAATGTTAGCACTATTCCTTTATGGGGGAAAAGTATATTTAATTGACAGTATCCAGCAACCTTGTTAAATAAATAAAAAAGAAGAACCTTCCATTTAAGGCCTAGTTAATGAGCTAATTTTAATGATAACTCAAAATAGAGTCTTGTAGTCTTTCTGTTAAGAGTGAATAATGAATAATCTCACAGCTTGTGTGGTGCAAAAAAAAAGTATAAATAAAACATTAAAGGAATAAAAAAGATTTTCCAATAAGCAGCTAAAGTTTATTTAGGAATTGTGATTGATTGCTCCGTAGATGCCATTTATTGTTTACCAATGATATTTTTTGCTGTGGTGGGTTAGTGGTTTACTGTTATTACTCTCGGCCTCCAGGGGTCCTTGCCTGAACTTCAGATTTAACCCACCCACCCACCCACAGAGCCAGGGGGCATGTGTTCTGTGTTTAGGCAGATAATTTTTATTTTTATTTTTTTGCTTTGGTACTTGCACATTTACAGTTACCTCATTTGTTTTCCATGTTTGTATTTGCGAGGGTGGGCAGGAGAAAACTACTAATATATATTATATATAGGAAATGGTTCTTATTAATGTTATAATTTTTTTTTCATTCCTTTGGAATCATATTGTTTGTAGCATTTAACATAACTAGTTAGTGTATTATATATACATCTGTATACTGTTTGAAATTTTTAAGATTTGTACTTTTTTTAAATGAAAGTTGCTAGTTATGCTTTACCAAGTAGTGCAATCATTTTTTTTAATTGTTGTGGCTGATTTGAGAGGGTTGTTCACTAATAAATGTATGATGTATACCAACGTGGCATTCATCTCACCTGACTTGCAGTCAAACAGTTTGAAGTTACCAACAGCAACTAAGTGCAGAAGAAGTCTGGAAAAGGATGGAATTTTGATTTCCAGACAACTTGTGGTGGGGGGGGGGAATTATATATATACATTGTAAATCCATGATTATAATTATACAGATATGCACAAGTAGATAGACACCCACTTCTATTTAATTAATTGTTACTTAACAGGTTGCACCTCAGTCACACACTTGTACAAGCTTCTGGTTTTGGATCTATGATTACTGTATGTTCCCGACTATAGAGCGCACCTCACTGTAAGCCGCACCCACAAAGTTAAAAAAACAAAAAAAAACTGGAAAGGTACATATATAAGCTGCTAGTATCTCTGTCGTCCCTGCTGCTAGCATGTGCTTGTTTTAAATTAAAATTAGCGCTTTCTTCTTTGATTTCCAAAGCGCCCCCTGGCGGTTGAAGAAAAATCCACAGAAAAGCCACACCGGGCTAAAAGCCGCATGGTTCAAAGCGTGGGAAAAAAATTGCGGCCTGTAGTCCGAAAAATATGGTACATTTCTTCAAGTTTATAAATTGGTTAACGTTGAGGAAAAAGCCCTCAAAAAATGTTTAAAAAAATTTTAGTCTTGAGTTCTGGCAAGTATTTCAAAAGGCTTAACATTACTTCTTTAATTTCAAAACCAATTTTCATCTGACTTTGTGAATATTGTCACGTTAAAACATCAAATTGTCCAATCTGACCTAAACAGTACACAGTTACACCTTTCATTAGTCACATAAAACATGTCACAAATAAATAAAAAAAAAAGTATGTTTTGGGAAATCAAAGCTAAAAATTCCAAGCGCCTGACATGCCTGTGGCAGCTGTGGGGCTGTTTAGCTGCAGGTTGCAACACAGTAACGGTTAAATAACGAAGGAGGTGGAGTGCTCTGAAATTATTATTTTTCCCCACAACAGTTACGTTGTTGAAACCTGGGGACAGCTGAGTGTTTAAACAAGACAGCAATCCAAAGCAGTTTTAGTAAGCTTTTAAAACGGATAGAGCAGTTTGGGATACATTAAGCTTTTATAATGGTCTCAATCCCATTACAAAATGGATGGATTATGCCTAAAATCTGGGCCTGTGTCAGGAAAGAAACAAAATCACATCAATGACAGCATTCCAGTTAAAAACTTGTTAATCGTTCAATTCAGTTCCTTCAGCATAGAAAAATCCCAAATTTTGTATCTTGAATGTTGATGTAGAGGTGCAATATAAGGTAGGGCTGCATGAATGTATTCAAAACTGTCTGCATAATTATGACTGTGGATAAGAAAAGTTTGAGAACAATTGTAAATTTGCGAATCGAGTTCCTCTTAAAGAAAAAGGACGTTAAAAATCTTTTACCACGGAAAGAGAACTGCTGAAATAAATATGACATTCTGACTGGAATGTCTGGAAACGGAAGCAGAGAAGACGAGTATGGAAAATCTCACAGTCCCACCGTCGACGCGCATAAACTTAATCACTCATCTGTTTGTGGTTGTGTTTTTAAACCTGATCCTAGTAGAAAAATCCTAGCTCTTTTGTCCCAGCAGTTCTGCATTTCTACTTGGAAAATATTTCTAAAACTGTCAGAATACTAGAAATCCGAGTCTGAAAAACATATGGAATCACGACAGTAAAAAGTTCAACAACACGTGAACCATTGCTAAAAGAAAAAAAAAAGTGTTTTTGAAAAATTCTCTCAATCCTCCAGAATCAGTGAAATAAGACACTTACGCCACACAACGTTGCTGTACAATCTCAATAAACCCACATTTTTAAAACGTTTTTAATTTATAGCTGGAAAATTACATCTTTTACATGAGCCCATTGTGGCGTTACAGGCAAAAAAAAAAAAAAAACAGGCATCTATGAGTAACCACAGGCACACTATGGGCAGACTTTTACTACACTAGTTACAGCCACATGTAAAAGCTGTGGCGTCTGTTAAATATTGTGTTTAAACTTCATACGATTGAGGCAGTCTGCTTTACATAGTAACAAACCTGCATTTGGTCGTTTAATGACAGACTGAAGTCAAAAAACAAACAAAACAAAAACAATAAGGTCAATTTGGGGGTTTTAAATATTGAACTTATGTACAGGTTAATGGCTCGTTCAAACCAGGGTTCCCACGGTCTTCCTACGCTAGTTATACGTCCGCCCCTCCGCCGCACATACCAACCCCCCCCACGGCGTACTCATCTTGAATAAAATTAGTTGTGCTTGTCAACGAATGTGGAGAAACTGTACAAACGTTTGGCAAAATGGGT